CTTATACACATCTAGATGTGTATAAGAGACAGATTTACGATTGCCGACAATTATATTATGTTTCAATAAAATAGTATTGACATTTTTGTGCGAATGCCAAGTAGCGCGGATCGGTGGGTCACAGAATTCGTAAACTAAGCCGATTTTGGAGCCTCAACCCACGGTCTAATTATTTGCCATAAAGCATACCATTCTAGGCTGTGATTGGTTGATACACACAATATTGAATATAGAGACCATTTGCAATCTGACCAATGGCAAACACCCTTTCTTAAGAAACCCATCAGATGGTAAGAGATATGATATAAAAACATACAATTTTACGGATTTCCTGACAATATTTTCGAAAAACTCTTTCCTTCTCTTTATTATTACAAAATCAGCCTAATCGCATCACAAATGAAGGCCCTGATAGAAATCGCGTCACAAATGAAGCCCCTGATAGAAAAAGAAATGACTTCAAAATTCGCTCAAAATCATAGTACAAGCCCTCTACCTCAGGGAGTGGGCTAAAAACTGTAAAATCAAGGTGAACCTCGCACATAGTACGTTAGAAAATATGGACATTAACACTACCTGGTCTACTCTGAAATATTTATTGTGCATTCATGAAATGGATGGTTATGATTAGATGGATTGTTTGTCAAGAATGTATAGTGATATATAAGTAAATTATGTGTTGGTCTGATTTTGACTTACTTTAAAATGTTCCCTGGTCTATCCAAGCGGTAGAAGGTTACAACGTGCGTGATTCGCTGTGGTGGAACGCACATGCACATCTAGAAGTTGCTCTTGCTGTGGTGTCATTTCAGCAGTTTCCTGATTTTTGTAGTTTCAAGTGTCTGACAATGAATATTCATTATCATATACATCATGGTCTGGTAAATTATGCAAACGAGTCAACTAGCAAACAGCCTGTAACACAAAAATGATATTAGATTTTACCAACAAATATTAAGATTTACATTAATAAAAAAAATGGTAAAAGTAAATGTGTAATATTAATTTAAATTAATTTTCCCTTAAATAACATTATTTCAAAGGGTTTGTATTTATATATTCAACACCAACATCAGTTGAATAAAACTTGACTATAACACATCCCAATGTAATTCTCTTCAATCTTTTTGTACAGCATTCTGATACCATGGATAATACCTCCATACTATCAGATTGAAATTTCATGATATTGGGTAAACATCATTTATGATGATATTGTATTGCACAAGAAAAACTGTAAAATCGACATTCAATATTGTACATTCATGGAACAGATGGTTAGGATTAGATGGATTGTTTGTCAAGAAGTCTGTAACACATCCCATGTTAATACTTGTCAATCTTGGACAGTCTTCTGAAGTTTCATAATACTGGGTAAATATAATTTATGATGATGATGACATTGTATTGCACAAATAAAAAAAAACTGTAAAACCGAGAAGATACAGTATGAACCACTCATATAGTACAATTTTTAATTTAAGATTGTAGGATGTTTTTAACAGCATTATTTTGATTGCCCTACATAGTGAAGAGAATGGAAAATGAAAAGAATATTTAAAACAAAAATTTCATAACAACATTTATGAAAACAAAATTGAGATTATTAACTACAGTATGGATATACTGAGCTCACTCTAACCTTTGCTTTTGATAGCCAATTGGCTAAGTCAAAAATCTTTTTTTAGCCAATTGAATCTGTCTTTTGCCAAAATTTGATGAAAATTGTTTAAAAATCATTGTGAATACACCTAGATTATGCCAGGCTCAGGCCTATACTGTAATAATAGGCATATAATATAGACTTGTAGGCCTATAAAAGTGAATGGGTGGGTCGGCCCACCGCTGGTATCGACAAATTGGAACTGGCCACCACAATAAAAAGGTTGAATACAAGTTGCAATCCCTAGACCTAAAAAAATTGAGATGGAAGAATTTGCAGGCAAAGAGAGCCCCACTTCGCACCAATTTGTGAAAAGCGCCCTCAACATCGAAATATTCTGATAGTATAACGTCTTTATAAACGTCATTTATAAAATATCTATTGCTTTTCATTCACATGGCCTGTGCGAATCCCATGTTTTTTTACGGGCCGTACATTAACTAGTCCTAGTTTTTGAAATTCGAGAGACTCCAGATCGAATCGGGAGCATTGATACGTTTGTGAATACCCAAGGCTTGGTGGGAAGAACCCAAAAGAAATGACAGCCGTACAAGTACGAGGGCACATTAGCTGGCATGTAAACAATAAGGAAGAAAAAAAGTAGAGCCTAAACTGCATTTATTTGGAATTGTGCCACACTTCCCAAAGGTGGGTCGCCAAGCTTTTGCGTTGGGTTTGCAAAAAAATAATTCAATTTATGTTGATGTGAAGTTTAACTGGTCTGACGACATAAAAACAGTATTTTTAGGTGAATCCTCCTTAGAACAATATGTTATTAGATGCCCATAATGAATACTCTGAAATTCATATCACTATTATTTTTCATTGCCGTTTACCAGAACATAATTGTGAAAATCTACTGTAAGCTTTCAAATGTTTAAGAATAATTCATAGAAAATAAACTTAAAATAAACAGAAAATTACTGGTGTTACTATCGCTATACCATCATAATTATTGGTTAATAAACTTAATTAGAAACCATAAACTTTTAACCTATGATTAAGCTTCGTAATTAATCATTTGTTAAAAGTTCAGGAACTTTTTTGCCTTTTTTTTTTAGGGGGGGGGGGCGCTATACCCCTGAATAATACGTACACCTGTATGATTTTAAAATTTTTTGAGGCCAGTATCCACAGGAATGACTATCCCTTTACCACAATACCTGTTTCAGTAATAGCTCTGACGGGTTGAGGAACCACACTTTGCACTGAATTTAACTGACAATCAAACTCAATAGCTAGGTTCATAAGGGATTATAGCCAGATGAAGTAGCTGATCTACTTGCCAAGTTAATTGGGTTGAATTCACTAATCGCGTTCGACGTTAAGGTTAGAGCGAGATATTTTGACTACCAGAAATTTGGAAAACACATCATTAGACAGGAAGTACAATCGCATGGTGGGTAATTACTGTTGATTTTCGCGCGACTAGTTTATGCTAGATCGAGACTAGGCCTAGGTATAAGCTAGGCCTAGGTCTTGGCGGTTGATTAGACTGGCCGAGGAGTCCAGCTGGAGGGTTTACACTGGGTTTTCCCCCAAGTATTTCGTTTAGCGCGTGGTGGTGTGGGCATGCCGATTTTGGGTCATCCCTTATTACATTGGCCGACCCCTTGCCCGTCCCATGAATAAAAACGTCTCTCACAGTCTTGTGTTCTGCTCTTAGATTTTTCAACTTTGTCACAACAATTGCCGATGTTATGGTATTATGGCCTAAGTCCCGCATTCTCTCTGCTATCCTTTCGTGGACACCAGCCTTCTAACGGTACAATTTATCTTCAACTTTTTCTGCGATTTCTGGCTCCTCCAGATATCTATTAAATCACATTACTGCGCATACGTCCAGAGATGGCGTTTCTTTACTGACTTTTCGGCCATCAATTGCAAAATAAGACTTGTTGAAATTCAAGTACACAGATCAGGGAGACTGCATCAATTCTGAATGGTGTTTATGATAGTAACTAAAAAATGCGCTAACCAGCAAGCATGGAAGGTCACTTTGCTTCAATTTGATTGGTGTATTTGTGACCCGTGGCCACCCGCTGTTTTATTGTTTACTGGCTTTAGGCTGGGTTAAGAAGTTAGTCGACATAAATTTACTCGACAGGCTTAGTCGAGTTGTGGCCTTCATCTCGCCATACTTGAGCTGTCATACTCAAACTTATGGGGAGATCTTCTAGCTCATCCACTAAAATTATCTCGCCATAGTTGGATATGAAGTCAATAATTTAAAAGATTCTAAGTATTAAAAAGCTATTTCAATGTTTACATACAGTAATTACAGTAATTAGCAATATCGTATCTGTTGTCTACGGCTGCTATGTAGCAACGGTCTAGCGGTGCCTCGCAAATGTATGGAACGCCAAAGAGGCCGCAGAATACAAACAGCCGCCAATGAGAAGAACGTAGTCATACAACAGCTGGATACATCAGTAACAAAGAGGGAAAAATATGTAAGCCTAGGCCTACAGTGAATAATTAAGAATTTATTTACCGGTATGTTGAGGAATGGTGAATAACATAAGAAAATATTTTCCACATCTTGCGCCTTGTGTTTTATGTACAACTTTGATGACATGAACCAACAATGATTTCGAATTTCATAATAAAATTAAAGTTTTTTAAAAATTTTTATTACGCCCGCCGCTGCCTTGAAATCGCCAAATTGTATATTTCTTCATGAGGCCTAGGCCTATAAATTAATATTATGCAAATTTAAAGCATTTAACCATCTCCGATATGTTTTACGTAAAACGTGATTTCATTAAATACATTTGTTGATTTCGTTTGATGGTAGAGACGGTGACATGAACAAAAAGGGAAAATATTTACTGTATAACTTCATTTCGTTTGTTGATGTGTTTGAATTTTAGATTTATTTTCCTTGCGTAATGACAAGTTATTCACGCAAAAATATTTACTGTATAGTATACAACTTCATTTCGTTTGTTGATGTGTTTGAATTTCAGATTTATTTTTCTTGCGTAATGACAAGTTATTCACGCAAAAATATTTACTGTATAGTATACAACTTTATTTCATCACTTGTTGATATAATGTATATAATATTTCTAAATACATTTAACCATCCCATCTACACTGTTTACCAATAAAACAAGATATAAAAGATACATGGTGTTATATTTTTTATTGTACTGTCGTGGACTGGAATAATGCTTTGCCGCGTTCCCTATTGATTTTCTTTTGTATGGATCGCTGCACACTTCTGCATAGATTGTTACACACTTCTGCATAGATCATTGCATTTGCATTCGCATGTTATTGTTATGCAATTTGCATAGCAGGTGGCTTGCTGTTTATAATACATTTTCATCGGCCGCTGCGTGAGAAGATATTTGGTTTTCATAGAAGGAACATGTTCTGTTTTAGTTTTTAAACATGTGAGTACACTATAGTATTTGATACTTTGCCTAAACTTGCAATGTTATGACGTCTATCTGTTCTTGTTAGTCGATAAGTAATAAATATTGATAACATATTGCTAGTTATAATATATTGTTAATTATATCGCCATAATGGTTCTTTGACGATTGTTGTACAGTTTCCATGTATGTAAAGCAGCAGTACTAATATATAATGTACTTATCCCAATTTAGCTTGTTATTTCCGTTACGTGTTGTAAGGAAGATAAGCATTTTGTTCAAGTAGTCTTCATGATTTGATTCAGGTATATTGAATTGATTCTGTTTAAACTTATTGCATATATTATGATTGTTATGGAATACTCATTCACATTCAATAATTGTTTAAAGCGATTGTTAATATTGTATTCACAATTGATTACTGATTGCCACAGTGTTGGTATAGTTTAATTACAGGTGGTAATGATCAGTAAAGTTATAGTGATCACTTAAGATAATGATCATGTATCATATTGTGTTTTCAGGGAATTTTATGCATGCAGAATAACAGTGATGGAAAGATTAAATAAATAAAAAGTGGCAACCGACACCGTAGTCTTTCTTCTGTTTGTCTCGTAATGCTCTCTACTATCCATCTTTGAGGAGCCTCACATGCTCACATCTGGGGGTGAAGCTACCGATCAATACCAGATTACTCAGCACCACGACAGTACAATGTGTGAAAGAGGAAACCGAGGTAAGATATTATTAAAATAAAAACTGTTACTTTTAACTATGCTAACACTGTGGACCAAACTGCATCATAACATGAATGAAGATAGCCTTACAAAAGAACTAAACAGATCAAAAGACACCATTGTTGTCATATTCTTGTCGTCTGTCTAATAGCACTATTATTCAAATGAGTGTGACTAGTGCATTAAGTTGAAGACAACATCCATGATTGTCTAAGATTGGAATAAATGAAATGATTGAAATATTATTATACTACACAATTCCTTATCTCTTTCAGCCAATCTCCAAGAGATTTTTGGCAGCCAGCAAAGTGCCCAATCACTTTTGAATGTAGGCAGCAGAATTATCTCGCCACAAGAACACGATTAAAACAGTTATAATTAATTAGGAACTATTATTAACTTAAATAAACATGGATAATCATAATCATAATTATGACATTAATAGATACTAGAATATGTTGACTTGTGTACTCATATACTTAATGTAACTACATAATTAAGCTAAATATTATGTGTTAAATGAAATATTATATTTATGTAAATTTGCTTATTTTTGTATATATGCTTTATTTTGTAAAAGTTTCAGTATATAGTTAAATATTTACATTGGCTGTTACAACTTTAGTTTCAATAAATGAAGACTATACTAGTTTAAATTTTGCTTTATAGTATTTTTTGCGAGTCTTGTAGTGAGGTGTTTCAATTTACAATACGTATACTGTACCGCCATAATTAATATTTACGAAAACGTATATTATTATAACAATACAAGACATATAATTAACCGTTAATCAAATTAGTTTTAGACAGAATTTATTTTCCCTCATCTTCTAAGAACAAATTAAAATCATTATCATGATAAATCAGTTTCTGCACACCATATAATTGTTACAATAATTTACAACAACGAACATATGTTATAACATTCCAAAGATAAAAAAGTACAAATGTATAGTGACACACAACTCATCAACTATATTATATATCAACTATATACTATATTATATATAATATATATTAACTACAACTAGGCGTTCGTGCTACAGAAAAATACTATAACAATTATTATACAGTAGGCCTAGGATTATAAAGGAAATAGTTATTTGCACAGCAGGCCGTGCGAACAACTCCAAAACGGTTACTCGCACGGCCTGCCGTGCGGAAACTCCAAAACGGTTATTCGCACAACAGGCCAGTGCAATAAAATGTTGAGTCTTTAACCCAGTGTAATACATGTTTTATTTATCTATTATAAATATTTATATATATTTATATAAAAATATAAATTCTATATAATACTTATACTGTATACATATATATTATATTTACTTCTTATTTAGGCTACATATCTTTAAAATAACGCAAATATTGCCGTGCCGTGCGAATAACCGTTTTGGAGTTGTTTGCAAGGCTTGCCGTGCGAATAATCATTTTAAAGATATTCACGCGGCCAGCCATGTGAATAAAACACGGTCTGCCGTGTTTTAGACTTATTCCTATGGCAGGTCGTGTGAATAACCGTTTTGAAGTTATTCGCACGGCATGCCATGCGAATAACCGATTTGGAGTTGTACACAAGGCCTGCGCTGTGCAAATAACCTCGGCCAAGTATAAAATGTGAATAATTAGGCCTACAGTATCATTAGGCGTTACTATATTTTATTAACCACAAAAATAAATAAATATACCTACTGAAAAATACGTAGGCCTAAGCATGTATACATAAAAATATGTAGGCCTAGGTGCCTACCTAGGCCTATATGCCTACACAGACAGAAAGTTAAATAAAAAACGGCCAGATAGATTATTATTTGCCTACGCTTCCGCATCCTGCAACAACCACACTACCAACAGAACTCTATTGGCGCGCCATACTTACCATCGTTAAAAATCTGGCGGCCGAAATGATCTGAGACCCTGGCGCCGCCACTGCTTTCCATGGCTTATGAACCTAGGCCGAACAGGTCCAGTGCCGACTGGCCGGCCAGAATGCTTCTGTTCCCAGTCTGGTTCAGCTTTAGGCCTAGGCCTACTTAGTTCTAGCCTAGCCTAGGGCTAGGAATGTAGGCCTAACAGCAACAACTGCAATTTTTTAATGTGTTGAAGTCTACTTACAGATTGTTGAGCAAATCTTGTAGTAAATATTGCTTTGCTTGTCCAAAAAAGTCAGAAATGATAGCCACACTAAACAGTTATATTAGTCAGATATTTTCTGTTGATTTTTTATCAGCGCCCTCATAGTCTGGGTGCAGTGGGAACTTTTAGCGGTGACTACGGTAGATGCTAAATACAAAGGGTTCAGCCGAGGGGGCGTGGCTTCGTATGTTGACGTCATGGATAACTTTCGCTATGTTTTGTAATAATCTCATCGACACTTAAGTGTGGGCCCTGTCTGTAATCACACAGCATAACAATCCGTACAACTAATTCCTTCATGGTACAACCAATGTAAGAAAAAATAAGTTGTCCCTGTGTGTTTTTCTTTCCAAACATTAGGATGCCTGAAATATTATCAATTCATTGGGCCTACACAGAGTGAATAATATAGGGCCCCCGTCGGGGAGATCTGGCTTCTCTTCCACCCCCTGTCGTGAAGAAAAACCTCAATTCGTCGGGGAGAAAAATGTAATGTATTTTCTACATATTAGTAGACACCAAAATCGACTAAGTAAGCCTTTCAAACCAATTCTTTTTCGGGGGTTGGTGGGGAGCCAAGAGGAACACTTTCGACGGATATTGAGGGACGTCCGACGTTCACTTTTTTCGTCGGGGACCTCGGGGCCTTATAAATTAAAATTACAACCGCTGACAAACCACTTATCCCACCACCAAGAACGACGAGATGTCGTACTTTGTCCATAGGAAGGCCTTTTTTACGCTGCAGCGGTAGACATCTTCTTCTATTGGTTACGCTTCGCTGCTCAGCACTGTTTTGTCAATATACTTTGATTATACCATACCTTAATAACACAATCAATCTGGCTGAAAATACTGTCTGATGTCAAAGAGTATGATGTTCCAGAAAAAGTGTCTGCTGCCCTCTCTAGTTGGATTTACTACACATTGGCCAACAACCTCATGAAATGAAATGCAAAGTTGTTGTGGGGTTTTTTTTTTTTTTTTTTGTGATTTGGCTTCATTGAGGGCGCCTTATCCTTTCATTTTTTTTAATTGTTTTTTGCCATACTGTATCTCGAAAACAACTTGCCAGAAAAAAAAAATGTTCATACCTACTAATAGGCCTTTTTCACGCTGCGGTAGACATCTTCGATCCATGACAAACAATGCTGAGCAGAGTGAAGCGTAATTAACAGAAATAACATAGCGTTTCGGCCATATTTTCGGAGGTCATGTTACTCAAAAAATTATATATACTTAACGGAGGGTCGTGTCAACATATATTTTTTCTTTTAAATGTTGGCAAAGGATATATCTACGTACTGTATGAATAAAAAAAAATTGAAAATTTGTTTAGTCTGTCAAAACTTAACTGGAAAAAAGAAAACCGATTTTGTACAGTGCATGTTGCTATTATTTCAATTAAGTTTTGACAGACTAAACAAATTTTAATTTTTTTGTTACTCATACAGTACTTAGATATATTCTTTGCGAACATTTTAAAGAAAAAAAAATATGCCGATAGGACCTTCCGTTAAGGAGTTATGATTCTTTAAGTAACATGACCTCCGAAAATATGGCCGGCACTCTAAATGACATTCGGTCGAACAATGTGTGTGTTAACACTACACAAAATCGGTCTTCCATTTTCCAGTTAAGTGTTTGACAGACTAAACAAATTTTCAAATTTTTTTTTATTAATACAGGACGTAGATATACTCTTTGCGAACATTTTAATGAAAAATGTATGTTGACACGATCTTCCATTAAGGATTTATGATTTTTTTAGTAACATGACCTCCGAAAATATTGTCGAAACGCTATGTTATTTTCTATTGGTTACGCTTCGCTGCTCAGCACTGTTTGTCATTGATCGAATGTCTACCGCAGCGTGGAAAAGGCCTATTAGGATAGAAATGTCCTTTTTCAGCCTTAAAACAATGATTTGTTGAATATTTTAATGTCGGGTCTCAAGAGGGTATGACCTAACATGTAGTGTGTCGTTTGGCACCCGTACTCAGGCTCCAACAGATCTATACCATATGCAGAGAACGTAGGACCCCATTAGAACGGTCATGCATTTAGTGATTCCGCTAAATCGAAAGCTCCATAATAAAACATGGAAGAAATCAGCTTAAAGCTGTATATTATTTGTGGCATAGATAGGGTACTGAATAGAATAACAACTACTTAGTTAGCTCGCATGAATGACCACAAATGAAATGTATAATATCATCAACAATTTACTTTGACTGAATGCTAAATATAATTACAATAATGTAAATTGTCAATGTTGTCGCGTGTCATTACACAGCACACCTTCTCTGTACTATTAAATCTGATTCTATTTGTGATTTCAAATTTATTCTTTGAATAAAAACACAGCACGCAAACCGTATATACACTGAATGTATAACATAGTATCATAATAGGCCTATATAGTATATTATATTTGGTCTCGAAGGAAAATACTCCTAGGCTCAGTGGCGGCTCCAGGATATATTTTCTGGACTTGAGCTCGTAGGCCCGAGCTGGGGGAAGGGTTTGAGAGGGGTTTCCCCTCCCAAATGAGGTTTTTTTAAAAAAAAAGAATAGCAACCTCTGTATTATGGCCAGATATGACACTTTCAGACTGACAGACATGTCGTCGCGCACATCACGAACTAACACAATTAAATTCAATTGTGTTAGTTCGTGAAATCAAAAAAGCGCGTCAAAATACGCGCTGTTGTCGTTAAGGACTTTTTGTGTGGTAAAGAATACAAAATTGCTTGACAACCAATACGCGCTCGTTTTGACGCGCTACTGTGATTTCACGAACTAACACAATCTACTTCGATTGTGTTAGTTTGTGATGTGAGCGACGATGTGTTGGCTTGGCGTGGGCCTATTATATATTCTTTTTTAGTCCGACTGCCTGACGAGCTCTGTCTTATGGGTGAGGGGGGCTTGACTTGTCCCGTAGGGAGACTTAAGCTCCTGCTCCCCCCCCCCACCGCTGGTGCCGCCACTGCTTAACATCAACAGCACTTTATCCCAGGGCCCTTTCCCTACATGCGAATTTGATTTTTTAGCTTTAGGCACTGAAGGGATAAAGATATTTAAAAAATTGAACTTAATCACTATCGTATTCAAAGTGACAATCCAGTAACTAGAGTCAAACATACACACAAGATGCTTTACATAGACTCATTATGAGGTTTTTGGAAGTGAGAAAAAATTGAGGAAAAATTCTGTTACCGTAACAGGAATTGATAATATGGTTCTTAGTCCACCTAAAATCCTGAAACTGGTTAAAGAAATTAAGCCAAACAAATCCCATGGTGGCCCTGATGGTATTCCTCCGTGGGTTTTAAAGGGGTTAGGCTACACATTACCTTATCCGTTTTGGTCATTTTTAATATTGTGGTATGACGGACGGGTATCCGTCCAATTTGACGAAACTCATTTTTCCGAATCTGAGATTTCCGAATTCACTTTGCCGAACAAAAAGTATGGAAACTCAGATTGCCATACTAAACAGTTTGTTGACTGCCAGTAGGTGCAAAATGTGACCAGAAAATATTTTACACGTTTTTATTCCAAAAACTGAAGCTAGTCTGTCACTCGAATGATGTGCACACATTATGTTAATTGTGTTACCAAATAAATTACCAAAAACTTATTTTTTATGATTCTTTTCCTAAAGTTTTTTTTTTTGGCAGACATTAATTTGTATTTCGGAGCTATAGTATGTCTAATGCTTTCGCCCTAAAAAAAATGGCCAATTTTACACTTTTTATCCTACAATGGTATTTTGAAACTAGTATGTTATAATACTGAAAGATTCACTTTTAATATATTTGTTAGCATACAACAACTAGGCCCCTATTAAAATTATCTAACATATGACGTGTATGATGACATATTATGTTAATGTTGTGACCCAGAAAGTACCAAAAAAAAAGTTTATTTTAACTAAATTTTAAAATACATGTTTTATTTATGAGATATACTAAGCTAACAAACTGTTTATCTGATTTTTCCCCCCAAAATCTGCGCCCTTGCCTTAACCACTCGGCCATACATCATTCAAAAGATAATTTTAATAGCTTTAATGGTACCAAATATAATTATTGAAATTAAATTTCCCATTGACGGACTAGCTTCAAAATAACATTTTTTGGTAAAAATGTGTAAAATTTTGGAATAAATCCAAAATTCAACGTGGCACCAACCCATTCCGTGTGAGCCAAGAGCTTGTGGTTCTGGATCTGGTTCTGGATCTGGTTCTGGTGGGTAAAGTCGACCTCCTAAGGACTCCAAAGGTGTAGAGTATAGGGGTGTTGCCAGCTTTTGAGCACTTCCAATCTGATGACCACCTGTCTATTTGCAAAAGTAATATAAGGCTATGTTCTCACACGGCAGCTAACGGTTAGCAGGATCCGATTCCTGCTAACCGTTAGCTGCCGTGCATCCATGCAATAAAATCACTGGCCAATAAGAAACTGGAAATTGTAAACGCGTACGTGTTATTGGTTGATGATAGATACGCCCTCAACTTGCTAACCGATAGCGGTTGCTAACCGTTAGCGTATCCGGATACCGCTAACGGTTAGCGCTAACCGATCGGGCGTTCTCACGCAGGTGCTAACGGTTAGCGCTAACGGTTAGCTCCCGATCCGGATACTAGGGCTCTCGTAAGAACCAGGCTTAAGATTATTTTATCTTAAGCGACTACGCCGATCTTGCTTTTTTGCATCCTTGGTTTGGTTCGCTATTTTAAGACGTATTTGTTCCGTTTAAGAATCCTAGAATAACCATCAGGCTGAACAAATTTAACCTAGGGCTAAGGAATAATTCTACTGGGAATTAGCTACGACTGTGCAAGGATTTGTTTTTTTGTTTTTTCAAGCTATCCCCTTACTGTCAGAGGGACGTATCTGATTGTGCGGGGAGTATTTTCAAAAGATGAAATCTTCGACTCAAAGTTTTAACCATCTGATGCCAAAGGCTCGGGAGTCGCTTCAAAATCTTAGGTCTAACTGTGAGTTTTCTTTTCCTAGACTCTTCCTAGAGTTAATACGGTACGTTCAAAACATTTTTATTACATTATTTTTATTACAGTTATTGGTATTTCCAAAAATATG